TCAACTCTCTTTTTATCCTTAAATCGCACAACTTTTAAAATGGCAAGAAATAGAGAAATGGAGGCTAAGCCCTCCTTTTATATCTTTCCCTTTAGGGAAAGTCGGCTACTAGAGCCGTACTCCGTGTGCATGCTTTCAAAAGAAATCTCCCATGCATGTATGTATACTCATACACACACTACATGTATATATGCTCATGCATACATACCATATATTTCATTTTGTCTTACTACATATACATATCTCCATGCATGCATCTATATTATGCATATAATTTCACATATTAGCATGATCAAATATAACAATTTATCATGTTGTCACATAAATATTTTGTAACAAGTAATCACGTATTTATTACCTCGGGTGATAACCAAGATCCAGTTATCACATTATCCACCCCTCAAAAGAATTCCGTCCCGGAATTTCTTTAGTAAAAAAGCCAAGGGTATTCTGATCTCATCTTTGACTCTAGTTCGCATGTTGCTTCCGGTCCTTTGTGAAACTTCCACTGAACTTTAACCAGACTTATCTTTTTGTTTCTCAACACAGGATCTTTTGATCAATTACGGCTTCTGGTGTTTCCACAAAGTTCAGCTTACTGTCCAATTTAATCGCTGGCATCGGTATAGCTAGACTCGGATTTGCCAAACATTTCCGTAGATTCGACACATGAAAAGTGTTGTGAATCAGACTCAGTTCTTCTGGCAGCTCTAACTGATATGCTACCGGCTCAATTCACTTACATATTCTGAAAGGCCCCACATACCTTAGACTGAGCTTTCCTTTCTTTTCCAAATATGATAACACCCTTCCATGGCGAAACTTTTAACATCACAAAATCACCTATATCAAGTTCAATCGGTTTTCGACGATTGTCTGCATAACTTTTCAGGCGATCTTGTGCTGTTTTGATTCTTTTACTAATCTGTTCGATCTTTTCAGAAGTTTCTTGGACAATCTCAGGACCCGTCAGCTGTTTTTCACCCACCTCATTCCAACACAACGGTGTTCGGCATTTACGTCCATACAACACTTCATACGGTGCCGCTTGGATGCTGGAATGGTAACTATTATTATATGCAAACTCTATTAATGACAAGTGATCTTCCCACGATCCCCCAAAATTAATAATACAACTTCTCAACATATCTTCGAGAGTCTGGATAGTTCTTTCACTCTGCCCATCAGTTTGCGGATGATAAGCTGTACTAAGTCGGATTTCAGACCCCAAAGCTTTCTGCAATCCTTTCCGAACTTTGAAGTAAACCGACTATCTCTATCAGAGATAATAGATAATTGAACACCGTATCTGGTAATAATTTATTTGATATAAATTTGCGCCAACTTTTCTAAAGAGTACTTCTCTCTTATTGGCAGGAAATGCGCAGATTTGGACAGACGATCAACAATTACCCAAATTGCGTCGTATCCCCTTGGACTTCGAGTTAACTTTATAACAAAACCCATAGTAATGTGATCCCATTTCCATACAGGTATCTCTAAAGATTGAAGACTTCCATACGGCTTCTGATGTTCAATCTTAACCTGTAAACATGTCAGACACTGTTCCACATATCGAGCTATGTCTCTTTTCAATCCTGGCAACCAATAAAAAGGTTTCAAATCTCTATACATCTTATTGGCGCCTGGATGAATAGAGTATCGGGACTTATGACTTTCATTTAATATCATATTTCGGATATTTCCAAAGCATGGTACCCAAACTCGCC